GAAAGTGTAAGATGGAATGTGTTGAAAATGTAAGATGGAATACGTTGAAAATGTAAGATGGAATATGTTGAAAATGTAAGATGGAATATGTTGAAAATGTAAGATGGAAGATGTTGAAAATGTAAGATGGAAGATGTTGAAAATGTAAGATGGAAGATGTTGAAAATGTAAGATGGAATATGTTGAAAATGTAAGATGGAAGATGTTGAAAATGTAAGATGGAAGATGTTGTAAATGTAAGATGGAATATGTTGAAAATGTAAGATGGAATATGTTGAAAATGTAAGATGGAAGATGTTGAAAATGTAAGATGGAATATGTTGAAAATGTAAGATGGAAGATGTTGAAAATGTAAGATGAGTATGTTGAAAATGTAAGATGGAATATGTTGAAAATGTAAGATGGAATATGTTGAAAAAGATGGAATATGTTGAAAATTTGGATTATGTTGAAAAAGATGGAATATGTTGAAAGTTGTTGGAATATGTTGAAAATTTGGATTATGTTAAAAAAGATGGTATATATTGAAATATGGATGTTGAAAAATAATAAGTTGGCATTATAAGATGGAATATGATGTAAATAGAAGATGGAATGTATAGAAAATTAAAGATGATAATAAAAGATGGAACATGTTTTGAAAAATGATGGAATATGTTGGCATTTTTGTTGCCAGTTTCTCCCAAATTAGAATAAAACCACAAACACTTGACACTGGCCCAATCCGCTCTGGGAGAGCTATAAACAAGAAATAGATAGATAGATAGATATGTTGGCATTATAAGATAGAATATGATATAAATAGAAAATGAAATGCATAAAAAATTAAAGATGATAATAAAAGATGGAACATGTTGAATATGTAAGATGAAATATGTTGAAAATGAAAGGGAATTTATCGAGAATGAAAGATAGAATATGTTAAAAAAGATAGATGATGAAAATTAAAGATGGAATATGTTGAAAATAAAAGATGGAAATGTTGAAAATAAAAGATGTACATTGAGAATGAATCAATTGCAATTAAAAAGTAACTTAACAAAGAATACATGATTTCTGTCAACAGGAATATATTTTTAAATGCATAAAAATAGAAATTTACTTACGGGGCTATGTTTGAACATGTGGTTCTGCAACTTGCTCTCGAAGTTGAAACCTTTGAAGCATAGATGGCATTGAAATGGAAACTTGGCTGAAGTTTTACTTTCTTCCTGAAATTTCAGTTGATTTTTTTTTACTAAGCAGACCAATTTGTTGCTGTTTAAATTAACTTTTAGTGAATTAGTTTGATAACAAAAAATAATAAAGGAATTTTTTTTTTCAGACATAGTTGAAAAATATACAAAAAAATGTTATTTTTTTCATAGACCAAAGCTACTTGTGAGTGTATTAGAAAAAATAAATGACTAGTTACTTAAATATTGCTTAAATTTTTCAGAAAACAAATATCTTAGTATCTACAAGAAAAAGTTAACATAAATCGACTATAAACCAAAAAAAATCTAGTCAGTACAAAAAATTGCTAACCATATCTTATGCAATATTTTTTTCTCTACATTTTATAAGGATTTATCCATTATTGTAAAAAAAAAAAAAATATTTTTTTTCGAACTCACCTCTTTCATTTTAATTTGTTCTTCCGGATTCAATATAATTACTTTTATTTTATTAGGATCTAATTCTAGAGACTTTCTTATTGACGTCTTACGAGATTCTTCTTGCTCTACTTTCACTTCTGCTACTTCTGTTCTGTGGAAAAAAAATAATTTTAACAGCAAAAAAAATTAAAATCCATCTTCCATAGTAATGGTGAATATACATAAATAAAAAAAGCAATAAAAACATATTTTTGCAAAAACACTAACGTTAGTCAAATTTATAGTAATATGCTTTTAAAAAATTATAAAATATCTGTACAAAAAAATTCACTTGTAATTAAAAAAAATCATATAGACTTATTTTTTTCTATAATATAACAATGCTATATTAAATAATTTATGCAAAATCTACCAACACTTTCTTCTTCTTTCTCACTTTGTCTTCTTTATTTTTCGTTCTTTTTCTCTTCTTGTTTGTGGAGTTTGTAGTTTCTTCATAGATACCACTTAAATCTTTGTCTTTTGTAACATTTGATCTGTAAAAGGAAAGCCATTAAACATATTATTTTAATAAAAAATCCGATGTAAAAAAAACATACTTCCCAGTTTGATCGTAATATTCATAGAAAAAAACATTAAAAAAATTACAATATCAAAAAAAAATCACAAAATCGAAATTTCAAAAATTCATATGTGTAATACATTTTATTTAAATAAAATATTACTTGCAAAGGAAAATATACTACAGTAGAACCTCGATAACTTAAACCTTGGTAACTTAAAAAAAAATGTTCTCTTCCCATCAGAGCCCAAAACCTACAACATAGACCCTTGATAACTTAAAACCTTTATAACTTAAATATTTTGTGTTTCTTTTGGACTTTAACTTATCAAAGTTCTACTGTATTTACATTTACCTGTATTCCTCTAATGGTAAATTATCTTCAAAATCGGAAAAATCATTTTCTTCTTTAATATTGTTTTCAAATTTTTCTACAATGATTGCGTCATCAAGAATCGTATCTATTTGGTTTATTATCTGCTTTTCATGCTAGAAATAAAAAAAAAATTATTGCAAAATCACAAAATACAAAAAAAAAATTTTTTAGTTTACTGGTTTTGAAAATTTCCTTTTTTTAATAATATAGGTTGGCAAACAAGCAAGCGGACACATGAATCCACCGTAACAGAAAGCCACCGCTGCCCTTAAACCTCCGCAATTGAAGATTTGTTGCCTATCCTTAATTGACGGAGGAGGAGACACACAAAAATAGGATATTTCCCCTTCCAATGCGCTTGCACCACCGTCACATCCACTTTTCTAGGGAAAGGGATTAAAATTAGGCCTTCAGCACCACACTCATCAGATGAAACGCGGAATTACTTCCACTTCACGCCTGTTTTCTGTGTGGTCGTGGTATTGCGGGCGAGCTGACCCATTCATGTGAAGATATTAAAGTGGGCAATACCACTGTCATTTTCGAGTTACCACTAATTCCAAAGAGCTATTTACATATGGCTATTAAAACGTACCTCTAGTACTCTATGGAATCCATTTTTACTTCTACCAACATTATCAAAAACTAATGTTGTTGAAGCGCAGAGCTGTGGACTCTCGTACTTTGTTAGTTCAGGATCCTGTCCATCTATGGGGAACTGTAATTTATATACTAGATTGCATTACTAATATTATAAATGCAAAATATAATAAAGCATAAACACACACTACTTCGTAGAGTAGGATGTCAGCAATCACAGCTTATTTTTTTAATTATTTCTTTAAAAAACACTCTGCACATACAACACTCTTTACACTCTAGTTTTTCACACTATTAACCTGTGATTTAAAAAGTGTGTTTGTTTAAAAATATAGTTATGTAAATAAATTGGAAAAATACCTTTATGTGGGAAATCTACAATAAACTACAAGCTGCCAACATTAAGGAATTATGGTAAACGAGCTGTTGCCCGCGACTTCGTACGCAAGGTATTAGAAAACATACAAACTATATGAATTACAAAAAGCTTCGTATCCCTCGGGAACCGGACATTTTTCGGGGATGAAGCTTATTGCATGTGTACTCCAGACTTTGTTTTATATCTGTGCTAAATTTCAATAAGATATGTTGAACCGTTGCAGAGTTATCATGTAAACATTAAAAAACTAAATTAATGAATCCCACGGGTACCGTAACTATTCCAGGGATAAAAAGTATCCTATGTGTTCTTCCAGACTATGCTCTAAACCTGTGTTAAATTTCATGGAGATCCGTTCAGCCGTTTAGGCTACAAACGCTAACAAACATCCATCCATCCATCCATCCATCTAAACTTTCGCATTTATAATATTAGTAAGAAGTAGGATAGTAAGATGTAATTTTGACATTTGCAATTGAGAATTTCACAAATGTAAACAATACAATAAAGTTTTCATAATTTTATGTGGATGAAGCTACATGGGAACAGATTGTAACACATGAGTGACTTAACTCTATTCTATCTATTACTTAGTCTTAATTTTTATATACAACTAGCTGTTCCCGTGCGACTTCGTTCGCATGAAACTACGAATTGTTTTATTGATTACATTTGTCAAATTAAATTTCAAATGGCAAAATGACATGACATGATAAACCTTAGCAATCTCCCTTTCTTGATGTTGGCAGCAACTTATGGTCTTTTTCCCACATTAGGGATTTTATCCAAAATATTTACCCCTAAGTTTAATGGCGTGAAAATATATAGCCTAAAGCATGACGTAAGTGTAGGGCTTTTTATTAAAGAGAGAATTATTCAAAAATATGCTGTAACTGCTGACATCTTAGGCAACAAAGAAGTGTGTGTTTACGCTTTATTATAATAGTATAGAGTATAGATATGCAGTTATACATACCGGTGCACATCTTGTTACATATTCGTACAATAACACGTGAGATCTCTGCAACTTTTGTTTAAATCTAACAGCTTTTTGCAGCAACGCTATGCACTCCCAGCACAACCATTGTGGTAAGCCATCTGATTCTGTTACCTGTAAAAATAAAAAATATTTCCTAAAATGTCTATGTCTACGTAGTGTGCACAGTATGTACTCTTACATACATCTCTACCAGAATATCTGAATTCCCTTTTCTAGTATGTCTACAACACATATTTTCTTTTCTTTGTTCTTCTATTTTGGTACAAGACATATATGTATTCTGCATGGTGTATTCTCTCAAGTATATTAGCAATAAATGATTTTAATTGTAATTTAAAAAAGTTTTGTTTTCGTGTTTATTATTGAAAGTGACAGGTGACAAGTAGCAAGTAATTTTGATACATATGAATTACAAGAATGTAATTAACACGTTTTAGATTTTACAATTTTACATTTAAATAAAGAATTCACTCACAGTTATTCCAGATAAATCCTGAAATAGTCCAGTATACGATTTTATATTGTTCCCATTTCTGTTTTTAGATAAACAACAGCGGCAAATTGTGTTCAGCGTTTCGAATTCCAGTTTTAAATCTTCGTTATCTCTTAATATATCTACTTCCATTTTTTATACTTTAACTCATAATAAGTAAATTAAAAACACAGTTAAGAATATCAATTTGTGGTGGTTTAAAAACAATATGGCGTGCCGCTTTGTCAATGTCAATTTTTCCACAGATAAAATCAACTTTCTATGATCTGTATTTTAATTTGTCTTATAAAATCTTCAATAAATCAATATAAAATTCGGATTTTTTAAATGTTAACTACAGTTTTCTTTAATAAATAATGGATAACAAAGTTAGAATTTAATTTAACTATTTCAAAACAATTTTGATCGATTATTCGAATAAAATCAAAGTAATTTTATGCATTAATAAAATACCAATAATATAATAATGACGCTTTGTTAATCGCAGTTTTATAAAGTTTAAAGCTTTATATTAGCTCCGAATTGCAATATTAAGATACAATATAGATATATATTTTGTGCGTTTTAGGGCAGCATTCCTGTCAACCAATGTCAATTTCTGTCGCCTCGCCATCTTGTTGTAGTGTAACTACAAGAGACATCAGTCCAAAATCTCTATAATTCCTTGTTCTGTGCATTCAAATATTTGTAAACAGAAAATGTAAAGTTATTTATTGTTATATGTCGGACATTGCTTAATTATAAATGAAACTATACATTTATTAACATGGCAGACATATTAGTATGTCGGATTTGTTTGTCGAAAGACAAGAAGTTGTTTAATTTATTTGATAACAAATTGGCGGAACCATTTGAAATTCTTACTGGAATACAGGTTTGTAATTTATATTTACGAATTAGCCTTCTATTAAAGCGTTTTTAATGTAGATGTGCATCAAGTAAATGTATAGTTTTCTTTTTTTTTTCTTTTAAATTTACATTTGATATTCAGCCAGATATTGTGTCATTAGCTTTATAAATATAATAAAATCATTTACTTTTTCTTTATATTATTATTAACTTCCATTTAATTTAATTATCTAATTTAGTGATCACTGAAAGCCCTGTACTAATCTTATTCTCTTTCTAATTATATTCCCATCTCTTTCTTACACCCTAGGGTTGTACCTTGAGCAGTATATGCATAAGTTGATTTTTTTCTTTTTCTTTTTTAAATTGAATACTCTAATGTTACAGATATCAGAAAGTGATGGTCTGCCACATAAAATATGCAGCTTTTGCAGTACTCTGCTTCAGAAATGTGTGTCTTTTAAAGAAAAATGCTTAAGTAGTCATGAGTTTCTTAAATACTCTGTACTGGAACATGGAATGGTAATTAGATTGTTTTTTTATATCTTTTTAAATAAAAGGCAAAGGTTTGATAGAGTCTATTTAATTTTTTAAACATAGTTTTATCATAATATTTTCTTGCTGTGCAATAAAAATTTAATGAAAGATGTTTGTAACAAATTTTTAATTTTTTTTTGTTATATCATACTTTATACTAATATTATAAATGCGAAAGTTTAGATGTATGTTTGTTAGAGTTTGTAGCCTAAACTGCTGAATGTACCTCGATGAAATTTGGCATAGATGTAGAGGATAGCCTGAAAGAAGTCATAGGCTACTTGCATTTGTTTTTTTTATTCCGCGCAGATGGTGTCGCGGGCAAAAGCTAGTACCAAATAAATATAACATACTAGCTTTTTTTAACTTTGTCCGTGTGGAATTAAAAAAAATGTGTAGTCTATGTCTTCTAGACTATCCTCTAAATCTATGGAAGTTTCATTGAGATTCGTCCAGCCATCTAAACTTTCGCATTTATAATATTACTTTAAATTGGATATAATCATATCATATATCATATTCCAGGTCTCAGTTAATTATCTGCACACATTTAACAAGGAACTAAACTTCTCACAGACAACTAATACTGACACATTACCCATAGACAATGAGGAACAGATAAAATTAGAAGACATAGATGAAAATATCGAAGATGCGAGAGTTAAAAAGAAATTTAAAAAAGAGAAAAGGAAAAGAGATGAGATTAACTTTGAAAATGTCATTGTTAAGAAGGAGGAAATGTTCGATTATGACGATTTGGATTTCCCAGTGGCCGATTCTGATGTTCCAGAAGTAATAGAAGATGTAGATATTATAGTTTTAACTAAACAGGAACAGATAGATGAAGTGGAAGCGAGAAAGATGTCTGTAAATTATTTAAATTCCTTCTACAAATGTGATAATTGTTACAAAGGTTTTATAACTGAATCGACATTTAGAAATCATATGGCTAAATATGATTCGGTAAGTTCAACACAATTTTTATAGCATACGAGCTGTTGCCCGCAACTTCGTCCGCGTGGTATTATAAAACATACTGACTATATAAATTATCAGTATCGTATCCCTCGGGAACTGGACATTTTTCGAAGATGAAGCTTATCCCATGTGTACTTCAGACTTTATTTTATATCTGTGCCAAATTTTAATAAGATATTTTGAACCGTTGCAGAATGATCGAGTAAACATTATAAAACTAAATTAATGAATACTACGGGTACCGTAACTATTCCCGGGATAAAAAGTAGCCTATGTGTTCTTCCAGACTACGCTGTAAACCTGTGCCAAATTTCATGGAGATCCATTCAGCAGTTTAGGCTACAAATGCTAACAAACATCCATCCATCCATCCATCTAAACTTTCGCATTTATAATATTAGTAAGACTATAGTTTGTCTAAATAAGATAGATTAGTTTGACAATTTAGTAGGAATGGGTTGTGTAAAATCAGTCATGAATCTTATCGATTTTCGATATTTATTCTTATAGAAGTTGGAATTGATAGATTTATAGTTATAACTTGTGAATTAAAAAAAAACACCGTTTTCTCAAATTAATAATGACCATAACAAATAATGAGAGTAAATAAATGTATATTACTACTACAGCCGTACGTAATCGAATTGGATTTCGCTATTATTTCTGTCATCGCTAAATTCTCTACACTATAATCAATACTAGAATTGTCCTCTAAATTAGTTAATAAGAAAATTATAATTTTAGTTGAGTTCGATAATTATTTAAACCGAATATCGATAGTTCACAATTGTTAGCTGCGTGTTTCGTCACTACGATACCTGTCTATTAAGTACGTCAGCCTTCATACAAATTGAATTCGATACTTCGTATGCGTTATTTATCAAACTAATCTATCTTATTTAGACAAACTATAACAGTGATCTTTTATTTCAAGAAAAACGGTGACTTTATATGCGAGGTATGTTCTGCTCGTCGTCCGAGTGCGAGATTGTTGCGTGCGCATGTTCTCTCCTCGCATGCACGTAAATATATATGCAAGCTATGCGGTCATGTGTCACGGGAAAGGTGAGTTTCATCACCAGCATTATCTCCACTGAGGGCAGCCCTAAGGGTGATTAAGACAGTCAATTGCGACTTCACATATATCTTCGATATGTGCATCACGATAACGTAGTTTTTTTAATGTTGAAAGAATTTTTCAAATTGTCCCAAGTAGTTTTTACGTGATTGAATATATATAAAAATACAAATCTTTCCTCTTTATAATATTTGTATAGACTAGTAGATATTCGCGACTTCGTCCATGTGAAATATGAATTGTAAAAATATATAGCCTACGTTACTGGTCAACGTAGTTTTTTAATAGTGAAAGAATTTTTCAAATTGTCCCAAGTAGTTTTACGTGATCGAATACATACAAAAATACAAATCTTTTCTCTTTATAATATTTGTATAGACTAGTAGATATTCGCGACTTCGTCCATGTGAAAGTATGAATTGTAAAAAAAATGTAGCCTATGTTACTCGATAACGTAGTTTTTTAATGGTGAAATGATTTTTCAAATTGTCCCAAGTAGTTTTTACGTGATCGAATATATACAAAAATACAAATCTTTCCTCTTTATAATATTTTTATAGACTAGTAGATATTCGCGACTTCGTCCATGTGAAAGTATGAATTATGAAACACAAATAGCCTATGTTACTCGATAACGTAGTTTTTTAATGGTGAAAGAAATTGAAATTGGCCCAGTAGTTTTTGAGTTATCTTACAAAAATGCAAATCTTTCCTCTTTATAAATTACTAGCTTTAGTTCGAGACACCATCCGCGGGGTTTTAAAAAGAACTTAGTAAGTTGCCTATGTGTTCCAGACTATCTACATACATGTATGACAAACATTGAGATCCGTTCAGTTAATACAAACTGACATATTTATTTATTTATTTATTGGTGATAACCACTCAGCAAATGTGCTGCATTAATGCTGCATGCAAATTTTCGCATTTATAATAGAAAAATGTCCATACATATATCAACATTTGTTTTAATTAGTGTATTATTAAATGTTTGTAGTTACAAAGCAAAGGAACATTCCAATTGGCATAAAGGATTTTCATTTATATGCAAAATATGTGGCGCTACTTTTGTGTAAGTATTTACTGCAAATATCTATATATCTATATATCTATATATCTATATATCTATACTAGCTGTCCGTACGACTTCATCCGCATGAAATAATGAAAATTTTATTTTATTGTTTACATTTATCAAATTGCAAATGTCAAAATGACATGACATGATGACAATCTTGCTTCCTTGATGGCAGCAACTTATAGTCTCTTTCCCACATTATGGTTTTTATGCAAAATATTTACCTCCTAAGTTTAATGGCGTGAAAATATACAGCCTAAAGCATGACGTAAGTGTAGGGCTTTTCATTAAATAAAGGATTATTACAAAAATATGGTGTGATTGCTGACATCTTAGGCAACAAAGAATTGTGTGTTGTAATGTAGGATGTCTATCACAGTATATTTTTGAATAATGCTTAAATAACTTCTTACACTTAAGACACGCTTTAGTTTTATAACGCTACTAGCTTTCGCCCGCGACTCCGTCCGCGTTGTATTAAAAAAAAGGTAATTAGCCTATATGTTTTTCCAATCTATCCTCTACATCTATGCCAAATTTCATCGAAATCCGTTCAGCAGTTTAGGCTACAAACTCTAACAAACATCCATCCATCCATCTAAACTTTCGCACGTTTTGCGCACGCTCATAATGTACTAAGTCCCGGTATTTAAAAATAAATATATTTTATAGTAAATCGACCAGTCATTTGACTCACATGAGATTGCAACATCCGTCAAATAGCTCGTGTGATATTTGTGGAGAGTCTTTCATAGGGGAACATGGACTCAAAATGCATAAGCGACGCGCACACAGAGACGAACAGGTTTGTGACACCGACAACGAAGCTGACTGTACTCTTGAATGACAAGACATTAAAGAAATATATAGATTATAGTTTGTCTAAATAAGATAGATTAGTTTGATAAATGACGCATATGAAGTATCGAATTCAATTTGTATGAAGGCAAATGTCGTACTTAATAGACAGGTATCGTAGTGACGAAACACGCAGCTAACAATTATGAAATATCGATATTCGGTTTAAATAATTATCTAATTCAACTAAAATTATTATTTTCTTATTAACTAATTTAGAGGACAATTCTAGTATTGATTATAGTGTAGAGAATTTAGCGATGACAGAAATAATAGCGAAATCCAATTCGATTACGTACGGCTGTAGTAGTAATAAACATTTATTTACTCTCATTATTTGTAATGGTTCTACAGGTCATTTTAAATTTGAGAAATCGTTATAACTATGAATCTATCGATTCCAACTTCTATGAGAATAAAAATCGAAAATCGATAAGATTCATGACTGATTTTACACAACCCATCCCTAGTGAATTGTCAAACTAATCTAACTTATTTAAACAAACTATAGTGATTTTTTTTCACCGGTAACTTCTTTGAAAGGTACTATGTTAAATTTAGTGCCACCTCAAGTCCTTGTATTAACGTAATAAAACTATTAACAAAATTATAATAAACTCCATTATTTACTAAATAGTGACACAAAATAATTTATCGTAAAATTTCTCATTTCCATAGATAAGTACAGTCGCCTTCGAACGCGGTGTATAATTTTTTTATATATGTTTTTCTGTATGTAAATTCCATTATGACTACATATAGCTTGAAATAATGATTTAATTTTAACTCTTAAAAAGGGAGTAACAATTCTGCATTAGATTATTTTCATATTCCCAACCGTCACCCCGCTCTGTCCCCACGTAATAATAAAAGTTTCATCCATCCCACCATCACGAACGAGATGAATTGTTATGAAATAAAATAATTTCCAACCGTCCCCTCGTCGCAAAAGGTGGGACGGATGAAACTTATTCTCATCTGTGCCCACGTGGGGACAGAGCGGGGTGACGGTTGGGAATAATCCATTTCCTCACAGGAACAAGAAACAAAAGTCGTATCACAATGTGCAACATGTTCCGCTGAGTTTTTCAATATGGATGCGTTGAAGAAACATTTAGATGACGTGAAGGATGGTGTTTGTGATACTGATCTGAGGTAAGATAACCGTGGGTTTACACTGACGTTTTTAAACAAATTGTTGTGTTGTAAGAGTCCCGTCCCACTACTGGCTGATAGGCTCAGATAGCTTATGACGTCAGTCAGATAAGGTAACAAAATCCGATATTTCCACGTATTTTATATGTTTATTGTTAGCAGACTATTTACAATTCGGTGGGACAGGTCCTTAATCCCTAACTAACTTTTGCTCGAGGCTTTGACCGCGTGTAATTAAAAAAAAAATTACCTTTGTTACTTACAGATAAATTACCTTTTTAATGGTGAAAGAATGTTTAAAATTGTCCCAGTAGTTTTTGAGTTATTCCAATACATAGAAAAATACAAATCTTTCTTCTTTAAAATATTAGTATAGATTACAATGTTTTTTAATGTTCCTAGCAAATGACAGTAAATTGACAAGCATATTGGTACAGTTTCTGCTTACCCCTTTTGATTTACCGGTTTGCTGGACATTACAGATGGTGTCCATATTGTGGCTTGGGTTTAGAAAATATAGAGAATTTCAAAGAACATATAAAATTACATCAAAAAGAAATCGTCCCATGTCAAGATGTAAGTATACAAGAGTTCGAAAATATCATTTTTTTAAAATAATTCCTCTTAAAAAACATAAAATTTCAATATTTAAGTATTAAATGTTCAAAAACACATGTTTTTTGTGTATTACTTAACCTATTCATAATTTGCAAAGTAATTAAGCAATATCGACATTAGGGTTGTAATGAAGGTAATTTTAACGGAAGCGGAGGTTAACGGAAGCGGAAGTGGAGGTCAATAATAAAATGTTATTTGAGATTTTATTAAAGAAATAAAAACTAAAACTACGTTAATTCAAAATATAGATTGGTACATAATTACAAAATACAGTTTATTATGCAAATATAATGTATGACAATTATAGTTAGTTGAGA